CCCCCCGTCCTCGCCCAGGCCCCGCCCCTCACTCATGCCCCGCCCCCGTTCCTCTCCCGGGCTCCGCCCTACAGCCGGGGCCCCGCCCCTCGCCTGGGGTCTCGCGGGCGCGGCCTAAAGTTCTGGCAAAAGCCCGCCTAGCCGCCCCGCATCGCCCGTAGCAAAGCGGGCTTCTCTCCCTCACGCTTTTGGAGCCAGCGGGACAAGCCAGAGTGGTTTACAGATGAGGAAAGCGAGGCCCAGAGACAGCTGCCCTTCCGTCTGTCTTGTCTTGAAGCGCGAGTGCCCAGGCCACCCTGGGGACAGGACAGGTGGACTGGCAGCCGAGAATGGCCTTTCGCAGGGTCTGAGGGCTTCCGGCCGCCTATGTACCCCGAACCAACTCTTCTGGAAGCGTCCCTGCAGCTCAGGACACACAAGTCGTGAGGTAGGACTCTGACGGGGAAGTTTTAAGCATTCCTTCTCAAATGCAAGCGTCACGAGCCAGTGAGACCCTTATAGGCCAATTATATTATTAGTATCTCCATTTTTTTACAGGTGAAAAAGCCTGAACCCAAGTCCCTTCTGTTCCGAGTCCAAGCCGGAGCACATGCTCACTGGCCCCAAATCCAGCCCTGCCAGCTGGGTCTCGGTGGCCGCGCTATCGACCTTCTGTGCTGGAAAGTTCTGCGTTGAGGGGGCTTCCTGTACGTGGTAGGAGGTTGCGCAAAAAACCACTAGTACTCCCCTTCTTCCTAGTTGCGACAACCAAAACTGTCCCCAAACATTGACAAATGTCCCCTGGGGGAGGAGGGGCACGGTCATTCCTGATTTAGAACCGCTGTGGTAGAGATACTGGTAAAGACCACGGGTTGGAGAGGGGCGTCCTGCAGTCCTGGGCTCTGGTTCCCTGGTGACTCTCACTGTGACCTTGGATGAGTTACCGCGCTGAGCCTCGGCTTCATGTGCAAAATGACAGACCGGAGCACTGGCCTGGGACCTATGCTGACCTACCTCTCCGTGTGGCCTGTGTGTCCGTAGCACCCTGGAAGATCTTTGGGCAAAGAGAAAAGCAGTCACAGGGTTTTAGTGAGGACTGATGTCACCTATCGGAAACGTAGGAGAGGCTCCCAAATATTTGATGGTATTATTTCTAATTTTTACCAATTTTTCTAGAAGTAATCAGGCTGGTGGATACAGAAATAATAAACTAAGGGATCCATCTCTAACTCCACAACAGCCAAGAAAATGGGAGCTAATGGTGGAGATAGGAGAATGTAGACAGATAAATGTCCCTAAACTGTTAGGTTTCAGGCAATCATGTGTGATTCAGCTGCACTGTGATGGGTACCCCACTCGGAAAAAGCTTTTTGTTCGTCGTAGAACAAAACTTTACAACCATTATTTCTTGGGGTGGGGGCAGGGGGTGCTGCTTTGGAAAGCTGAATTGAAGCCTCCACTGGGATTTTTGTTCAAGAGTGCCATCTAGGGGCGCCTCGGTGAATCCCTTAATTCCTACCTCTCATTTTTGTAGGGCTAGCCAGGTTTTCCTTTTCCTTGTGTGTTGGCTGATTCCCCCACCACACTATTTATTTACCTGTGGGGGTAGGGGGGGGAGCGGGGGTCTTGGCATCTCTCCATTGCATAGGGACTTGGCTCTTGATGAGTCAGTAAACTAAACCCATGTGCAGTCTCTTCTGTACCTTTCCACGGTTACTTACTCTGGCTAAGCAGCCATTTTAGGCCACAGAAAAGGTCTGCCAGGAGCACTGGGCTCTAAGAAATGTGTGAAAATTTTCCAGCAACAGATTGAGACCTTAAACTGTTAATTCATAGAGATGGGGACTACCTAGACCCTCGGGACCTCTTCTCTCCCTACTGCCAGATTTAGCAAATAAAAATACGGGACACCCAGTTCAGTTTCAATTTCAAGTGAGCAGCAGGTAACTTTTTAATATAAATATGCCCCAAATATTGAATGGGTCAAACTTATACTAAAAAAATTCTCTGTCATTTATCACAAATTCTAATTGAACTGAGCAGCCTGTGTTTAATTTGGCAACCCTATGTGTTTGATCCTGAGGCAATTGAGGGATTTGAGGCCTGCATCCTCTCTTGGGAATAATTAAACAGAAGATTAAGTCAGACAATTCTGGTGCAGGTGAGGTGGCCTGAGGTGGGGTGGGGATGGCATTTTCATTCTTCTCCGTATGTGTTTTATTTATTTTCCATCTTCAGACCACATGTCAGTTTTTGATTAAAGCCATGGAGCAGAGTCCATAATCAGCTTCAAGTCCCAGCTTTGCTACTGACATAGCCAAGTGACTATGAGCAGGTCACTTAACCTGTGTTCTCAGTTCCCTTAGCCATCAAACTTGAGATCATAATTGTATTTATCTTCTGGGTTCTTTTTTTTTTTAATATTTATTTTAATTAGTTTCAAGTATACAGTACATTGGTTAGATATCTATATAGTTCATAA